CCTCCCAATATTTAACTAACTGTGAGGCATGCTGTGATTTCATGCAGTGTTTCCCCAAATCCTGCAAATGGACTGGGACATCAGGCCACATGTGTCCCATAATTGAACTTCAATAGGAAGAACCCTAGAAGTGACCCATTTATAGACATGTGAAAAGCATCAGTTAGAATGAGAGCTTTCAAACAGGAATTTCCCTCTTAACTCTCTTTAAAACACGCCGCTTGGAGGGCCCCAAAATATTCATAGTCATAAATGCTACCCTTCACCCAATCAAGATTGCTCACCTCTGCTCTCCGTGGTTCCTCAGTTTCATATATGTTGTAATCCTTAGTACTCTGCAATAGCTCAAACTAAGACTGCTTTGGTATAGACTGAAGTGCCTACTAATCTTGGAAGCTAAGTAGTGTCAGGCATGGTGAAAAGCTGGATAGGTGACTTGAGTCCTTCACTGAGCAGGCAGTTGGACCTGATGGCCTGCTAGACCCCTTCTAATTGCACGGTTCTATTATTCTGGTTTGGCATTCCGTAGAAGTAGGACCTTTTCTGTGGTGACACCTTCCTTGTTGAATTCTGTTTCAGATATCTGTCAGCTTATGCTACTGGAAATTTTAGAAAAGCATTTATAATACGGATTTTTTTTTTAAGTTCTGTTGTGCCTCTAAGGAAATAAAACAATCTCTGGTACTACTGCTTTTAAAAAATATCTTTGAGTTATGGATTTGTTTGATGGCCTAAGTTTAAAGGCACAATCTTATATATGCTCAGACAGAAAAAAATTAAATTCAGGGAGCTATAGGATGTTTTCTGTCTAAATACAGACAGCATTGCACCATAAGCCTTTGGTTTATTTTTAGTTGCTTTAAACTACAGGGTCTAAAATAGGGATGCTTCAGTGACCTAACAAGTTTGATTTCCAATGTGGATGCTGTAGTTCTGTTGTGGGTGATTAGCAGAAACTCAACTGATTAAATTCAGTTCAATTTCAGCTTGGAAACGATAACCATCAGGACTTGGATGCATAACACATGTGCAAGCTAGCGAGATGTGCAATGGTTTTCACATTCAGATGCACGTCCAATTTCCACCTGTACTTTCTAATGGCAAGACACTGGTAGAGTTTCCTGGATACATGAGACCACTGGACAGAAAGGCAGAGAAACTCCACAAGAATAAAAGGGCAAGTTTTGTACATCTTCATAATGAAGCCTATCAGATGTGGTATAAATTGCAAAGTTCAACATATACACAATAATTTTCTCATCAAGGAACTCCTGATAAGCTTCTTTAGAAGCATAAGTTTTCTAGAATTTAAAACTACTATCCTTATATTCTATTTATTTCTCTCAACAAAAGCCACTTATTGTAAAACTATCTAGTGCTTCCATTCCTCAATATACTAGGAGTATTCAAAGCTGGAGCAAGCACTTGTCCCTCCAGGCCACAGAGTGGTCACCACCATCCCAGACATATAGTCAGTTGCAACATTTGGTAAATATGTAGAAATAGTTCTGAACAAAGCAGATGCCTTCTACTTATGCCTCTAGCATTTGCTTGCTTTGATATTGTATCTTCCCACTGCAATAGCTCAGGTACATAAATATGTTGCAACTGATAACAGTTCTTTCAACTTTGATCTCTGTCTTACCTCTGAAACTGAATTTCTTCTTCTCTTATTTGCACATCTTTCTATCAAACTTATCACCATCTGCTCTCCCCTGCTTTATCTGCTCTAACTCCCAAGCTTCTGTAACTGATGGATACAATTAACTGCCAGTGTATGTGGTCCACATATTTACATCCACCTAAGCTGCTCTGGAAACATGTGTGCAGAAAATCAGAATAATGGAAAATAACTGGGGAGTGGGGCAATAGAGGGTGAGCCATAGTGCAGTTGTACACCCAACTCAAGCTCCTATTGAAGGATCTCACACAGAAGTCTTGAAGGAAAGCCTCCCCTTGCTATGCAAGTCATTGCTGCTGGTCCTCGGGCAGATGATGGGCCAGCTGAATAATTCAATCTATAAAGTAGCTTCCTACCCTCAGCTTGGCCCAATCAGTTCATGAAGTGTTTGCATGACCAGCAGAAGCATGATGATAACAGTGCTGCTCCACAACAGTGACCTTGCTGGACATGAAGACCAGGGTGCAACTAGCCACACAGATGAGCTCTGCACAGCAACCTCCTCTATCCTACATAGCAAGCCCTCTTTGGCAATGAAAAGTACTTTCAAAGGTAGAAAAAAGCTGTGTTCTAGGAAATTGTGAAGTCCCTCGGGGATACATCGGGGTTCCTCTGTGAGAAGGTCAGGGAAATGGAGCAAGCCTGAGCTACAGACAGCTTGCTCACCCACTACAGTGGGTCCTCAGCAATATGCAGTTAACATGCAGCCACTGGGTATGCTGCAGAGGACATATTCTCAGTTCACACAGGATGGTGGTGAGGTCCAGCAGGTCTACGGAAAGCAAGAGGAGAAGATCCCAAGGCAGGAATAGAGACAAAGCAGGAGAGACACAGGGGAAGCATTTCATTTAGCCCAATGCATGTCAAGGCTTATGCCTCTTCTCCAGGGGCACCGTAAAAGTAACCACAAACCATTTAACAAATCCAAAGGCCTGTTCTGGAAATCTGTAACTTAAAATACTTTAGAGGTACCTTAACAACAAGCATTTAGAAGTGATGAATCACAAGAGTGCCTCCAAAGAGGTGGCATCCTGCTCAACAGGCCTAGCCAGTACCCTGCATGAACTGAGCATGGAGCTCAGAACTCGTCTCCAGAACCTCCAGTGCCGCACACTGGAATTCTCTGGCAGGCGTGCCCCAGCCTCACATCAGTGGTCTATTATGGAAAGGCCTTTCCTGAAGACAAAAAGTCTGTTTGTCAAAGGAATACATGCCAAAAAATAATGGCTATGTGCCTGAGCCTTTTCCTAAAGCTGCTCTTTGTGTCCTGGTCAAGCAGTGAAGCTATCTTCCATAACTTCAGATTGTGACAGAGTTATCTGTATGACAATCACCTCCAAAAGAATCCTGGACCATCAGGGCCATCTGGTCATGAAGCTCCCTTTCCCAGAATATCTTTTAGAAAGTTCAGATTTTAAGAAACTTACTGTGGAAACAGTGAGCATTCCATTGCAAAGAGAGACATGATTCTAAGATTTTCTTTACCGTCACAAAAGATTACAGATACCAGATTACCCTAAAGCTCAAACTGAAGAAAACATGTATCCTACAATTCCAACAAACTGCTGACACAAATATTATACACACTCATGCAAAAGTAGTCATACCCATAAAAATGTCTGGATGTTCACACCTTAAAAAAAATTCCTTAACAGAGCAGTACTGACTTAAGCAGTTATAAGTACTTTGCATATGACTCAGGTTTACTGCAGTACAAACAAACTGTATTTCCCTACTGCTTTATCTGAGGGATTAAAATGTCTTTTCTCTTTTGCGAATCTGAAAACACAACCACTATCTGTTGCATGCTCTTGACACAACTGCAGCTAAATCATGCTGGTTTTCCACTGGCCAGATACAAAGTGGCTGAGTCACCAAGCAATTCATTCTAGCACATAGAAAAGACCCAAAACACCGGCCTGGGACCTCCCCTCTCTCTGTGGCTCAAAAAGGCTCTCTTAAGAGGTGAGTATTAGCCAGCATCTCACCACTGTGGCTGAAACTGGCCCCAGTCCCCATGTATTATGAAGACAAAACTGGCAACACCTGTAATTTGTCCATCACAAAACTGGAGGTGTTGACAAAGGAAAAGACTTGTCAAGCCTGAAATGTTTGGATCTAGTTCCCAAGCTCAGTTATACTGCCTGCCTGAATAAAATGCTGTTTGGAAGGTCTGATGTTAATGTGGATCTCCCAGGAAATAGGAAAAGGAAGATGGTTTACAGTGCTTTCTCCTGTGAGCAATGAATGACAGCCACATCTAAACCAGAGGAGTGATTACCAAACAAACCCCCCACATGCCCTGCAAAGATGAGTTTCGAGTTTGGGGAGCCATTTAATATGTACTGCAGGTGGAAGTGTGTAGGTGCATATTACATATTATAGAATTCATAACCAGAGTGCATAACAAGCAAAACAGCCACCGGTTGGCACACTGGTTCACAGAACTGACATGCGAATATGAATTTCTAGAGAGGTGCTGAGCAAGGCAAGACAGGGAGGTACAGTGAACTTGGGCTGTAAAGCCCCGGATCCAAATTCTAACTGCCTAACCTACCCAACAGCTGCTGGGAAGCTTGAACGGAATAACTCCGTGTACCTTACCCTGATGAACAGCAGTCCAGATGTGTAGAGCTTCATGGACTCCACACTACATGAAGCAAAGACTGCTCCTATTGCACAGTAGGCTATTGGTACTGTAATAAGGTAGCCACAACCAAACCCTCAGGACCAATATTCCCCACCTGTCCCCCACTCAGTTCATCATTTGTTCATTCGCAACCTGTTCTCCAACCCTGACGTCCATCCAGCCTACTGTGCCATGCCATTTCTATATTCTATACAGCACCAATCACACACCCTATATACATGAGGGTTAAACCATGAAAGGCAGACACACAGGACTAATTCACACAGGCAAGTCAGCCATTTAATGGAAGTGGATTTACACATCAAAGCGGCCCTGCATGGATCAAGGTGGATTTTAAAGATTGCCTCCCGATTCAGCCACCACCAGTTTCAGAAGGTCTAGGTCTCTCTCATACACACCTCAAGTTGCTGTCAGCAAGTGGTGATCAGGCACGTGTGAGCGAGCCAAGGTAGAATATCACAGCCAGAAGCTTCTTGTCACCTCAAACACAATGAAAGCAGTTCAAACAATCACTCAACAAATGCACAGTAACCCAGCATGCTGGAAGGGACGTACACGCCCGTGTGAACCGACCCCAGCTGCGGCAGAATCAAGCGCTACACGTGCAAACGACATAAGGAGGACTCTGTTTAACCCTGAGCAAAAGGACCACGGCAGAAGGTGACTTACTTTATCTTTCTTGGTACAGGAGCCGCCGCCACCCTCGGCTTGCTCCGCGCACTTGTTGAGCTTCTTCTGGCCGCGTCCGGCGCTTCCCGTGGGGCTCCAAGTGATGGGGACGCCGCTGCCGCCCTTGCAGCCTTCGTTGCTTTCTATTTTAATAAGCCGGTGCTTGGGGGAAATGTACTTGACGGCACCGCCGTCGGGTGGGGTGGCGGCTCGCCGCTCGCTGTGGCTGCGGAAGAGCTGCGGAGAAGCCGAGGAGACCGAGGTGGCGGCGGCGCTGCTGCTGCCGCCCCCTCCGCCGCTAGTGCCGCCGCAGCAGGACGACGAGGAAAACGGCTTGGGGCCGGCGGGCTCGACCAGCAGCTCCTCGGGCGCGCAGTACTCGGCGCGGCAGAGCGCCCTCAGCTTGCGCAGCGACGAGCCGGGCCCGCTGTACGGGTCCTCGAAGTCGCGCTCCTTCTGCGCGCGGTAGGCGCGGAGCAGGTCGCTGGTGTCGTGGCGCGGGAAGCAGGGCGACGTGTGGTGGTGGTGGTGGTGGTGGTGGCCGTGGTGGTGGTGATTGTGGTTGTGGTGTCCGCCGCCTCCCGCCACCGCCGTCCCGTTGCGCTTGTCCCGATAGTCCGGCCGGGGCGGCTGCGGGGGGGCTCTTGGTCTTGTTATTGCCCAGGCTGAAGTACTTGTTAAGCCATTTGGCCATGACGGCACCGAGGAGGGCGCCCGCCTGCCTCCTAAGGCGCACCGCCAGCGCCCATGGAGAGCCCGGGACCGCGCGCCGCCACCGCTCAGGACTGCGCGCTTTCGCTCGCCTCCGGCTCGGGCTGCTGCGGCTCCAGTCCCTCCATGGGACCGGGCTCGGCAGCCGGCCGCCTGCCTCGCCACAAACTTTTCCTCGGGAGGCGCCTTTGCGCGTTCCTCGGGCGCGCTGGGAAAGCGCCCCCCTCCTGGATGGGCGCTCCTTTCCTCGCCTCTCGCCTCGTCTCAAAAGCGCCGCTTTCCTGCCTTCCTTGAACTTTCCCGAGTTGCCAGCAGGACCTGACGCACGCAGGCTGGGGCTGCAGCAGCTCCTCCTCCTCTCCTCCCCCGCGCCTCGGCTCCTCCCTGGCGCCCTGCCCTTCCCTTCGCGGCCGTGCCTGGCCTGCACTATCCAGCGCCGCAAGGGGAGACGATTTATTCCCCGCCGTCGTCGCCGCCGTCGCCTCGCGCGTTCTCACACCCAGCGCTCGCCTGCTGTAAGCAGCCGGGCCTGCGCTCAGCACGCACCGGCGGGGAGGCGCCTGAGCACCGAGAGTCCTCCGCCCCCTTCTCAGCGGTGGCGATGGGGAGAGGCCGGGCCAATGAGCTGCGTCGGAGTGTTTTCCTCTTGGCAGTTGATTTGCTTCATTGCTATTGTGAGCGAGGAATTTTCAGCTCCAAAAGGGGCAGCGGACGCGCGTACTCCTGCCCGGCCGCCGTCTCCGGGATTGTCTGGTATGAAGGCTCCTGGCGGGTGGGGGCGGCGGACGGAATGGCTTCCAGCCCAGGGGACAATCTGGTCGCCTTCCCAAGCGAGTGCCCTCGGATAGGAGGAAATGCAGTTCCCATCATTCCCGGCCAGCATGGTCAGTGCAGTCCAGTGCACCTGGTGGGGCACCAATTTGGGGAAGTCTCCAGTGGTGCTCCTCCTTTGAAACTTAATTGTTGCAGGTCGACCGTCCCTCCTGTGCCTTTTGTAAGTGCGCTTGAGCCTTGCTCCTTGTAGTGGGTGTGCAGGTGGGAAAGGCAGGCCTGTTCTTGTATCTGGGCTTGATAATTCCTTTATTTAAAACATTCATATACTATCCCATGCCTACACAGATACTGGAGCAGTGAACAATAAAAAAGACAATAAAACACAATATTAAGTGTGGCTGCTCAAGCAAAAAAGGCTTCTTGAAACAAAGATGCTTTCAGAAGGAAACAACACAATGTGGGAGCCTGCCTGATCTCCATTGAAATTATTATTATTATTATTATTATTATTATTATTATTATTATTAT